GAGCGTGCGGGTTTGCTCCCTGACCCGAGTGAGGGCGGTTAAGTGTCCACGGCGGCGTGAGCCTTTCCCGGTAGGTGCGCCGGTGGCGGTTGGCGCCGCCCAGGTAGGGGTGGCTTCCCGAGGGAGAGGTAGCTCGCGCAGCGGGCCTGCCGGAGCCGCCTGGGGCTCGCGGCGTCTCTCCTCAGAGGCTGTTGGTCGGAGTTCGGCGTAAGTTCGGTGCCCGCGGGCACCGGCCGGTGGGGGCTTCGTCCGCTTTGCCGAGTGGGAGGGCGGAGTGCGGGGTCAGTACGGACGAAGAGAGCCGAACGGGGACTGCATCGATGGCATTTGCCAGTGTTTGGTCACCGGATCGAAGTAGCCTCCGAGATTTGAGCGGTCGCCCCCTGGATGGCCCACAGCACAGCCCGGCACATACGCGTTTGTTGAGTGAATAAAAACTCTTCCCAACTGCCGTAGAACCCCGAACTCCTGTGAGACCTCGTTTGGAATTTTTACTCATGTGTTGTCTGGTGTGTGCTGTTGACCCGACCCCCGGAAGACTTGAACTCGTAACGTTGCTGTTTGCCCCATGACGGCCAAAGTAATGCCGTAGGCGTAACAGATAATGCACAAACGTTTTTCAACTGAAAGCTGAAGCGATTGTGGCATTTTGATCCTTTAGCGTCAGATGTAATTACTTTTTACATCCTGAATATAAGTAGTTGTTATAAAACACAGCTATTGAATGCTCCCGATGTGTGGACACGTACTAAATTACAGGGCATATGTCATTTAATCGTCACAGTATTTCTACAAGCTGGTGTTGATTTTCCTCCATTTGCAGTTGAAGACATTGAGGCTCAGCCTGCCTTCATACCCTGCCCTGTTCGAATCCGAAAGCCAAGGATTAAACCGACACTGTCCAGAGCAGGTTGCTTCAAGATTATATCATGGGACAATTTCAGTGTTTTGAAGTAGTGTAGGACGTGTACACCAGTTGTGAAGAACATGAAGTCTGGAGGGGAATAGTTTCGCCCCCCCCACAAAAATCTCACCGAACCCCATGTTAGAGAGTAGTAGTAGAGCATTCTAGGTTAAGGTCGTGGTCGAGTTGTTGTATCTAATTTTACTCCCTCCTGAAATCTCACTAAAATTAATATAAAGGGATTTTTTTTAAAAGACATAAACCCACAATGATGGAGAGAATGGGAAAGGCTCTAGAAAGCAAATGTCTTAACAACTCTTAATTCTAAAATAATGTGGAACAATTCTGTATAAACCACAGAATCTTCAAAACGCACAGAAACTGGCAGCACCTGACTTCTTTGGAACTGGGAATAAAGGTGGTGGTGCTGGGGATAGGTGTGGGGTACTTGATAAAGAGGACTTAAGTGAAATCTGCTTGAGAACCAGTTAGATATCTAGATCCCCTTCCCCATTTCACACTATTGGGTGACTGCCTTTCTTCCTGTTTGAGATGATGGGATGGAGGCTTATTCTCGAGAAAGTGAAATAGGATCTTTGAACTGGGGGTCTCAAGGCATAGTTGTAGGGCTAGTTTATGAAAACAGTCATTGAAGCCTGAAGTCCTTCATCTGCCTCTTCCCACTCAACTCTCAGAACTTTTGCAGCCAGAATAATACTCAAGATAGAGAAAAATACAAATTAAGTTGGTTAGTGGTTGCCTTTGAAAAGGAGCTTGGTGGCTGAGGGGAGTGTGAGAAGACTTTAAATTTTTCTTTTAAAATTTTGTACCATGTGAATGTATTTATTCAAAAATTAGATGTATTTTTAAAAAAACTATGGACAAAACCTTTGACAGCAATTCCTCTCCCAGGAATTTGTTTTATAGATATACCTACACACACATGAAAATAATGTAAGTCCAGTATTATCTAGAAAGATACACAAGAAGCAGATAATAGTGATTCCCTTTGGAGAGAGGATCTGAGTGGCAAGGCAAAAGTGGAATGAGGAAGACTTTGTCATTATATGTCCTTGGTACCTTTTGAACTTTGAAGTGCATTATTGTTATCCATTAATAAATGAATGAATGAATGTTAATGAGAATATAGTGGTGATCCTGACATTAATAACATCCTGAGCAATAAAAGATCTCTTTTAGTATGAAGGAATGCTGCCTAAAAACCTGAAAGTTACGGAGGCTTACAATATTTTGTGCTAGTGGTTCTTCAGGTCAGCTGATGTAGGTTTTAGCTGGACCAGGCTGGACTTTAGACTTTCGTTTGGGGTTCAGATCTGCTCCATGTTTTTTCATTCTGGGACTCCATGTGTCTTCATTCTGAGCTGAAAATGCAAAACTATCTGGAGCATATTTTTGTCATGGTTGAGTGTGAAAGTTCTGGAAATTTACCCGGCCTCAGCTCAGAAGTGCACGTTGAAACTTCTACCTGTATTCCATTAGTTAAAGCAAGAGATATAGCCAAGCCCAAAGTCAACAGAGTGAAGATTCATACTCTGCCTACTGTGAGGCACTACGATGTCACATGAGAAGGGTGTGGATGTATACTTCTGTGGAAGTATAGAAGGAAGGAAGAAGACTTGGAACTGATAATGATGAAGGAATTAGGTTAATAGAAAGATGCTGAGAAAGGAGGTTCAGGTTGGTTGTGAATGAAGGTGCTTCCAAAAATGTTTACATATTTATTATTATTTTTGCCAAAATACAGCATCCTTCTTTGATATGAATTATCTTAAGGCTTCCATGTCAAGGTGTCATATTTGCTTTCTCTTATATAATATCTGTCATACACCTGGCCCTATAACCAATTCTGAGTGTCTGTAGAAACCTTGAAAATAATATTTGGTTAATTAAATAATGTACATGTATAGACTCTAGTTTTAGAGAAGTAGTAGTTCTAAATGTGTTTATTTCAGTTACTAAATGTGTTCATTCATAGTTCTTGTGTCATATCCATGTCTGCCAACTCACCTTTCACAACAGAATCTTCTTTTCAGGTAGACGTCCTTTGCTTCTCAGATGTAATGCACTTTAAGTTTGTTATTCAACAGTGAAAATGAGTCATACAGAGGTAATACATATTTTCATATGTTTTGCATCTTCAGGGTTCCTTTTGTAATCATATGGCTTCAGAGTAATTTTCTTATTTTCAGTTGACATTGTGAGAGGCAGTATAAGGGCTCTGGAGCAGACTGCTTGAGTTTGAATCCTAGCTAGTGGCTATATAACCTTGGGCAAGTTATTTAATCAGCTGTGCCTTATCTATAAAATAATAATAGTACTTGGCTTATAAGAATTATTAGGAAGGTTAAATGAGTTAATACATATAAAACACTTATAATAGTACCTATCACACAGTAAGCATTTCTTAAATGTTAACTATTATTAATATTATTACTTTTTGTTTGGAGGCCGTGACTTGAATCATGAGTCTCACAGAGCAAACATGTGTAGTTATTCAGTTATCTGAATAGGCAAGGAAGTAATTTTTGATCCCTTTATTCTCTTGAATTCCAGGTTAAATTAAAAATACCTTTTGGAAATAAATTACTAGATGCTGTTTGTTTGGTACCTAACAAGACCTTAACATATGGAATAATTCTTACACATGGAGCATCAGGAGATATGAATCTTCCTCATTTGATGTCACTGGCATCCCATCTTGCATCTCATGGTTTTTTTTGCCTGAGATTTACCTGTAAAGGCCTTAATATTGTACATAGAATTAAGGCATATAAATCAGTTTTGGTAAGAAAATTTCTTTACATTTACTTATAACAGAATTCTGTTTAAAATTCTTAATAAATTTAAGACAAATTTTGTTAGAAATCATTTGGCTTAATGAGTAGCCTTAGAAAATCTTTTAGTGAGCATCCTTAGAAACTCAACAGGACATGAAAGCTGTTTAGTGGTCAGATTTCTCTTTTTTGCCATCAGTTAGTTTCCATGGAGATGAATGCTCACATCATAAATGTCCCTCCATGATATTGTCAGGGAGGCTACTTATGATACGATTTTCTCACTGGAATTATGTAATGTAGAATATAGTTCTGGCATTCTATTTTGCCTACCATACTATGTATGTACAAATGTGGTACTGTTTTCTGTTGCTTTAAAATCCCTAAATAAAAACTTAAATCTGAGGTTTCTTTTAATCTAAAGTATTTCAACCTTGTTAAGTTTTTAGAGCTTTAAATTAGATGTTAGTATTATTAGCAAATTTGGTATTAGTTAGAAGCTTTAACTGGGCCTTCTTTTAAACATAATTTGTTTAAAAATAGTTTAGTTCTTGAATATTTTTATAAAGGAAAATTGATTTCTTTTCTCATGTATTTGCCTGTATTACCCAACATGTGATTTAATAGTGAAGGCATGACGAGAAGAGGCAAAACTGCTTATTTACTTCTTTCAAGAAGAATCCCTTAAGATGTTGTGGTTGTTTCTGCATAGATTTTCATACTTTTCAGTAATGATGAGAAATAATACATCTTGTCTTTCCAGTGGGATATTTAATAGTAAAAGAATTGATGATTTTTTTTTTTTTTCTTAGAATTACCTGAAGACCTCTGGAGAATACAGACTTGCAGGTGTTTTCCTTGGAGGTAAGTTGCAATACTCGCAAATACTTAACTACCATTTTAAATAGGGATAGGTAATCAAGAATTAAAATTAGTTCATAATAGGAAGCTAATTTAAGAATTTTTTTGTTGGTTTTGGTAAGTCACCTCTTTGATGTTAAAGTACTTTATATATTTAAAGCAAATTTAAACCATATGTAGTGTATTGTAATCTGAGGATCTGTCCTTTTATTTATATACCTGAGTCACCCTCTCACAAATGATGATTCCTTCACAAGATTATTCTCACCCTTCTAAATGTTCATCAGAAAAATAATTACTTTTTTTGTTTTATATATTTGACTTAAGATCTATCAGGTTTTAGTTCTTCATAAGGGTATAAGTGTCCATTATAGGTATTGCAACTTGTTAATTGGAGTTAAGTAATTTGTTGTAAACAAATATGATGAATGAACAGTAAATGAAATCTGATTTTCCACACCATCACTGCTACTTTATGTGAATGTTTATATTTCATACTGAACATAATTTTAATTGATTTTAGGTCGTTCAATGGGCTCAAGAGCAGCTGCTTCTGTAATGTGTCATACTGAGCCAGATGATTCTCATGGTTTTGTTCGAGGTCTCATTTGTATTTCTTATCCACTGCACCATCCAAAGCATCATCATAAACTCAGAGATGAAGATCTCTTTCGTATTAAAGATCCTGTACTGTTTGTGTCAGGCTCAGCAGATGAAATGTGTGAAAAGGTGAATTACAACTCAATGTTTGTATGAATGAGAGAAAGAGAATGAAAGACATATCTTGGGAGCAAGATATTACCTGCAACATTTAGTCTTGTTAAAAAGATGCTAATTTAAGAAAAAGAAAACAAATTGGGAAAAAATGCTAATTTAACTAATACTAGTTTTGTGCCTTAGTTACCTTGTTGCTCTGGAGAACCTAAAAATATATGCACACTGACAAAATTCATCTCCCTGGAAAGAGAGCTGGTAAATGGATTAACCCCTATTTGGGAAATGAAGGATTAATATTTGAATCTTCTCAATTTGGGATTACTAGGCTATACATTTGTTTTATCATTTCGACATTCAGGAAGATTATTTGTTATAAAATTGATTCTCGAGAAAGAATTGGCAATGTCTTCACATCACTAGATATTAGCCTAATATTATAAAACAACTTTATATTTTCCAGAGCATATAATTTCCTTGGGACAAAGATTTTCTTGGAAAAAACATTTTTTTTGGCTCTAATTTACTTTTTATTGTCAATAATAAATGCTTGATCTATTTTATGCTATTGCTCTGTTTAAGAGAAGTGGACATTTCCTTGCACATGACATTGCCTAAAAAATTGTAGAGAAGGTATTTAATAAATACTTGGTGAATAGATGCCAGTATAGGTGGGAGAGAGAGAATCTTTTATTCAACACCAATAGAACATTAGTCTAGTATACTCTTCTTTTTTCCCTTAGAACTTGTTGGAGAAAGTGGCACAGAAAATGCAAGCTCCCAATAAAATCCACTGGATTGAGAAGGCAAATCATTCCATGGCAGTGAAAGGACGGCCAACAAATGATGTTTTCAGAGAAATAAATACACAGATTTTGTTTTGGATCCAAGAAATCACTAATATGGACAAGAAATAGTTGTCATCAGTTAAAAACCATGTTATTTTGAATATAAGTACAGTTAATTTGATAAAGAATAGTATACCCTCAGCATTATGAGATATATTTCAGACTAATTTAATGTTCTTTAATGTTCCTCTATTTTTAAAACACATTTTGTGATATGATGTCCTTTTCAAAATGTCTTTTAAAGCACTGTTATATAAAGATGATGTACACATACTGAAGGTGGCCTAACTATAATTTATTTTCATTAGTATAGTTAAGTTTTGAAAAAAAATTAAACATTTGAATTTTGTTACAATGGTGCCTTTGTTTTATTAATATGCAACTGAGAAAGTACTCTAATTTTATGGAGCAGTGTCATCTTTAAAAAAGGAAACCAAAACTTACTTTACTATAGTAAATTTAGTCTAAGATTTGTAGCGTGTATACATCTCTTCATCTAATCTTTTAATACATCTTAATTAAGGGATAAGAATGGAAATAATTTCAAATATGTGGACCCTGAACACTTTTTAGAATGAAACGACAACTTTCATTCAAGAAGTGTTTACTGAAGGTCTGTTGTAGGCAAAGCCTCATTAGACTTGCAGAGATAAGTAGATGCCTGGAGCTTACAACATAGTGTGCAAAACAAGGGGTGGACTATTGTCCAGTTAAGGGGAATTAAATAATGGCTAAAAAGTGGTACTCATATCTGTGCTGTATATAGGCAGAGTTAGGGGCACATAATTTTGCACTGAGGAGTTCAGGTATATCCTGAACTGGACCTTGACTGGTGGTATTGAATTATATATAAAAAACATAGTTTCTATATTTCCAATAAAGTACATAAAATGTGATGAGGCTCATGTTAAGTTTATGTAGAAGTTTGTACTAAAGAGTGGTTTTCTATAATAAGAACTTAATCCTTTCCCTAGCTTCCCTACTGCTCTTAATGTTAGGTCCTTCAGACAGTCTCTGGTGACCTGGGCAGCTTGCAGATTTTTGAGATCTTTCATTCCTCCTGCCCTGGTGGAATCTGAATTTTAATTATTATATGTTATTTTTTTAAATACAACATAAAGGATGACCACCTAGGTAACAATGTCCAAATTGTTTGTATTATAGAATAAAGTCATGTCCAAATATAAATTCAAAATTCCTCTAGCACTCAGTGTATAATAGCTACTTTTTGACTAAGTCATTTCCTGAACAAGACCTAAATTTTTTGAAATAGTGTATAGTTAAGCAACAGTTAACATTTGAAATTTTAAAATAATACTGGTTTAAGAAGACTATAGAGAGAAAAAGATATTCAGAGCTGTCAAAAAATATGTTCACTGGTCTATTAACAACTATAAACCAGTTGGAGAATATTAATATTATGAACCAGATGTAAAATTAACAGGAAAACGGAAAATACAAAACAGGACTGGCCAATTAGCTCAGTTTGGTTAGAGTGTGGTGTCGGTAACATGAAAGTCCAAGGTTCAAACCCTACTGGCCAGCAGCCAAAAAATATTAAAAAGAAAATACAAAGGACAACTTATTACAAAGCAAACCATAATAGAAAAGTATGACAAAATAGATTTAAAAGGTTACTAACAAGGGTATCTAGTTATAATATTTGGGTTTGCAAAATTAAACTATAGGCATAATATGGATGACCATTCAAAGATAATACTTCAAATATAGGGATAATGTAGGTGATTATTTAAAGTTGATTTTCCCCTGTGTTGTCTACAAGAAACTATTGTTCCTTATTGATATGATGCTTTGCAATTTGAGAATAGTGTACCAAACCATAGTTGGGGGACATATAACTCCTAGAGAAAATATCAGTGATAGGTCTAAGGCTTAAATGAACATTCAGGAAAAGATCCTATCTGCTCTCCTGGACAGATTTGTGCTATCTTGCAGGAGAATGTGCATCCCCTTCAAGTCTGAGATTATAGTCAAAGAGCCATCCTGGTGTCTCCTCTGCTAGGTCCTAATTAATGGCACAACTGCTCACCTAGACCATTGCTTCCCAACTCAGAAGGATTTTACCTCCTCTGGGACATTTGGCAAATCTGGAAACATTTTGTCTGCCACAACTGGGGTGAGGGTACTCCATAGGTAGAGGAAATGGATGCTGCTAAACATCCTACAGTGCACAGGACAGTAACCGCAACAAAGAAGTATCCTGTTCAAAATGTCAGTGCCTATGTTGAGAAAGCTTGTCCTAGACAAACCAATTTTGGATTATCTTTAAATCCTTTTTTCCTTTACCTTAGGTCTTCCACCCCCCTTTCTAATCCATTTGCTTCCTTTTAGTTACTAAATTCCAGGTTTTCAGCCTATAAAAGTCTTGACTCTTATCTCTCCTTTCTGTTTACACTGCCATCACTAATTCAGGTCCCTACCAATTTTCATCTATATAATTGCAATAGCTTAACTGAATTTCCTATTTCATTGTTTCCTTGCTTTGATACACCAGTTGATACTTCCAACTAAAAAACTGTTTCTGGGTTTCCGCAGGTGGTTCCACAGTAGGGCCCAATCAACACTTTAGCTTTCTTTTCCCTCATACTCTGAACCCGTAACAGTACTATAGCTAACCTGGACTACACAAAGTTTTAGAAAAGGGAAAACGTCTTTCTGCCTCTTTCTTTTTACTGAAAACATTTTTCCGAGTGTGTGTTTTGCCTGTTACCAAGTCCTACTCATCCTTTAAGGCATTTGATTTTTTTTTTTCCTTTTTGCAGCTTTCCTTGAATTACCCCCAGATAAAGTATCTCTCCTCAAATCCCATATCTTCCTTCTCTCTCTGTTAATCACATTCTGCCTTCTTATCAAGTTATTGATATACAGTCATGCTTTGCTTAATGACAGGGATATGTTCTGGGAAATGCGTCAGGTTATTTTGCCATTGTGCGAACATCTTAGAGTGTACTTACACAAACCTAGATGGGTATAGCACACTACACACCTAGGCTATGTAGTATTACCTATTGCTCTGGCCACCTTCGTGTGTGGTCCGTCATTGACAGAAACATCATTATACATGTGGCACACGAGTGTATTTGCTCTATCCCACTTAGACGACAAACTCCAAGTCAGGGAATATTTGTTGTATTGAACTAAGATATTTACAGAAGAATTTGCAACCATTATGAACAATCCCTGGTTTTATGTTGCTATTTTATACACCTATTATTGGGACATTTTCCTGTTAAATAAAGAACAAAAACCTAGTTCACAATATCCAAATAGTTCAAAGAATGAAACATTGATAGATGTAATAGGGGATTTTTTAAAACATTAATAGAATTTTTTTTCTGAGTATTTTCTTGAAGTATCTATACTTTATCTGTTAGCAATGGGCTTTTTATGGTTTTTTGTTGTAGTAGTTGTTGTTTTTACCGTCTTCATGATTTTTTAAAATAAGTCTAGCTTAGCATTTACTTTTTTTCTGGTCACTTGAGATTGACCTAAGACAAGGTTTCCATTGCAAGGGACAGAAGAGTCTGTGCCGAAAAATAAGTAATTATACTTGTATTAGTAGGTAGGTACATAAGTAACAAATATGACAAAGGCCTGGAGGAGAATATTTACCTGTATTTAAACTCAAACATCAGCAAGAGTGGTACATAGCGTTCCTTTTCAGTTCTTATAAGAGCTCCTTGGTGGGATACTAATTAGGGCTTCAGTGGCATAAAGCTTGGAAAGATCCAAGGAACTAAAAGGGGAGAGTGTTGAAACAATGAAGCCCTTTTAAGGTAGTTAACATTAATTAAATTAGATAATATCTTTCAGCAGGCAAGAGAAATTGAGTATTTTGCCAGCTGCCTTAAATTTTATAGAAAAACTCAGCAGGATAAAATCACCCCAGTTGTGTATGTGGGGAGGTGACAGAGAGGAGTGTGTACTGTACAATAGCACTAGAAAAATCTAGAAGAATTGCTGAAGTTTCTTCCAGAGCTAATGAATAACTACCATGCATTCTGGAGGGCTATCCTTCTCAAAGACAAAACCCAAAATCAGAGTTAAACCTAAATAGTAAATAGGTTTCAGGCTATGGTAAATTCTGATGTTCAGAATGTGTCATTAATCTCATGATCTCCAATACTCAGAGGAAGTAAGAGTTTAGCAAACCTTTGTAGTATTCAACTAAACTGTGAGAGGAGGCCTGATAGTTTACTCCAATGTAATGAATAAATACTTCTTTCTTCAATCCACCTAGAATAAGTGAAGATAAAGGAAGTATTAATTATATTTTCAAAGGAAGAGTACTCTAAATCCAATGTAGCATTAATATTTTTCATTACTAGTCCCAAATATCCTGTCTACTTGTGACTAAAATTGTATTTGCTCAGTAAGCTTCCAGGACTACCCTCTAGACTTTAAAAGTGAACAGTACCTAGATGTGCCTCTGCACCACCCTTAATTCTGACATCAGAAAGTACAGATTGGCCGGCCCGGTGGCACACTGGAGAGTGCGCCGCCTGGGAGCGCGGCGGCACTCCCACCGAGGGTTCGGATCCCATGTGGAGACCAGTTCCCGCTCACTGGTTGAGCGCAGTACGGGCGCAACACCCAGGGTTGCGATCCCGTTACCGGTCAGTAAAAAAGACAAAAAGGAAAAAAAAAAAAAAGAAAGTACAGAACAAATAGCTCCTTGGAATCACCATAGAAAGGGTGAAAAGGAAATTCATGTTTCCTTTGGAGGCCGTTCCAAAGTCTAACTTTGGTTTTCAGCATATCGAGTTTGTTGCCAACTGACCCCTGTAGCAAAAAGAAATATAAAATAAGGTATATTTTGAGAAAAAAAAAAAAATCAGGCAGGCCCTTAAGAGACAAGTTATCATATAGCCTACGTGGTGGCAATGGGACATAATTAAACTTAAAAATTAATTGGTATTTATTTAAAATTCAAACTAAACTGGGCATCCAGTATTTTTATTTGCTAAATCTGTCAACCCTACATTCATTCCAGAAGGGACTATATTTTCCTGACCACAAAGAAACATACAATATACTATGCCTGGTAGAAATAGAAATGGTTATATCAAATGCTTTCTACCAAATCAAATGTATTCTATATTTTTTAAATGGTAGGGTAGTGATAATCCAACTATGCTAAGAGGTTGTTTATAGAATTATGTTGCTTTTTATAAATTATTTGAGGATAATTTTTTGAATTTTAATAAGAAATTACTTACAGCACTGTACATGTTTCACCAATGAACTGTCATTATTGCTAAGGTAAGTTGATATGAGCTCAGTTAAATATCCATTATGACACGTACCTCACTTAGGACCAAAGCAATCACTGCT